CAGACAATGAAAAAAAATATTTTTTCTCCCCAGCCTTTCCTTCTACGAACGCCGTGCAAGTGAATTCTTTCCTTCTCGCTCTCCTCCTCCTTTTATTTTTATCGAGCGTCCCTCTTTCTGTGCTCTTTTGATTTCTTTGGTGATCGGAGACTGTTATGAAAAAGGACAGCCCTTCCTTTCAGATGCGTGTAATTTAATTATTCATTTTCTCGGGTTGGCTTCGGAAAGCCAAGTTATAAATATCAATGATTGGGTTTTCATCCTGATGAACCTCTTTCAGGTTTGCCCCCTTTTCAGGCGCATCCTAGATTTTCTTCCAAGAAAATAGGGTCCCCGTACTGATGATAAATCACTGAGCGGCTTGGAATAATGTAAAATAAACGGGATAACAATCAGACGACGCGGCGGGATGTCCCCAACCCACTCCCCCTGCCAAGGAACGCCTTGATCCCCCACCTTATAAATCCAAGAGGCGCGCCCCACGGCCCCCACGGTGCCGGTGTAGTTAAAGAGGCTGACGTTGCCTTCGGTCATGCCGTACGTTTCGACCACCTGCACATCTCCAAAGCGGCGGAGGAATTCCCGCCAGACATCCGGCCGCATCCCGCTGCCCACGGCCATGCGCAGGCCATGCTCCCGATCACCGGGGCTCTGCGGGAAAGAAGGAGGAACACAGTGGCACGAGAGGCCCCCGCTTTGGGAACACTGAAACACTTGGCCACCGACGGGCCGCTTCGGCCAGTGAGTCGGAAGGGAAGACCAATATTTGGGGAGTTGCAAAAAGATTCGAAGCCCGGGAAACAGTGATGTTTTGGATCTTTGGCCGAGCCGTTCAGGGTCCCCCTAGCTAAGCAGAATTGTTCTGGCTTTGGGGGGTGGGAGATCTGGGGGGATTCTGGGGAGACTTTATAGGGGAGATGGACTATCCCCTCCCAGCAGGGTGCAGAAGAAAAACGGACTGCAACGGCTGCCTTTTGCTCAGCAAGCTGGCATTCCGCGAAATCCAACCGCGCCTTTCAGCTGCGGGCAGCCAGGCTTGTAAATTTTATTCAGAAATCTAGCCCGGTGGGGTTTGTTCAGGAAGCCACCGATGCAGAAAACCAGTTTGCTGGCAAGGTCTGGACTGAGAACGTTGGGGAGGTCGGGGAATTCTGGGAGCTGAAGTCCACCCATCTTAAAGCATGCTGGGTGGGGAATTCTGGGAGTTGAAGTCCACCCATCTTAAAGTTGCTAAGGTTGTGCGTTGGGAATCCTGGAAAAAATAGCTTCTCTGCAGAAATTCCAGCAGTAATACCAGCCACGGCCACAAGGGGGAGACCTACAGACACACCTTTTCCCACACTTACCTGGGGCTGATTGACCAGGTACCGGCAGAGCTCCCCAATGTATTGGAAGATGGTCACCCCGTGAGTCCGGCAGTCAGGCCAAAACTGGCTGGCTGAGAACTTTTTCTTCAGCACGCAGGTGCCGCCTGGCAAGAAAGGACAAGCCTTTCCTTTTTCCCAGAAAGCTAAGCAAGTTTCTAGTCCTCAAGGCTGAGGAAGCCCCCTTTTCCCTCCCTCCTGCCAGGGAGGTTGACATCCTTAAACTCAGAGGGGGCCAACTTGAGATCAGACCCTCCCCTTCCCCAAAGAGTAGCACTCTTTACTACAGCAAAGTGGTATTCGCTATGGTGAGAAACAGCAAGGGACCTCACAAAAGAAGCAGTGAATCCATGGCAGTGGAGCAGGAACATTAAGTGGAGCCTCCAAAACCAAGAGCAGTATACCCCAAATACCAGAGGGGAGAAGGAGCAAGGGAGGGAAGATGCTTCTCCGGCGTGCCTGAGGACGGGGTCTCCATTCTGGGAGCCGGCAGCAGGAGGCTGTGCTGTTGGTGGCGGGGCAGGGAGGGGAGGGGAAGAACCGCTGCCCCTCGGAGCGCAGCCTTTGCAGCAGAAGGGTTGACACCGCGCCCCTTTCGCATCAAACCGGCCGCAGCGCCCCTGGACCTACCGAGGCCGAACGTGCCGAGGATGCCCAAAAGGCTGCCGGACATGTGATAGAGCGGCAGCGCCAGGTAGATGACGTCCGAGCTGGAAGCCCCAACCAGCCTGTAAAATCCTAAGCAGAGGATGGCTTTCAAGTGGCTGATGCAGGCAGCCTTGGGCAGACCTAAAAGGGAGGAAGGGAAGGGAAGGGAAGGGAAGGGAAGGGAAGGGAA